AACACTAATCGTGGTGCTACAATAAACGCATTGCCAGACTCGAGGCCGGGTCAGGGGGACATCTTCGCGCCCGCGCGGAATTTGGTCTGGGGCCTTGGTGGCCCTACCAAGATGGCTGGGATGATACCTGCAGCTCGGTACAGCTCATTACAGACTTGGTATATCTCGGTATATCATCCAATATCATCCATGAACACTGGGGATCTATACCAAGTTCTGATCATCCCATGTTTAATCGGCAATCTCACCAGGGAATAAACATTTCTCCAAGTTTTTTTTCAACGGCGCTTCTCAGCGGAGCAAGGTGGGTGCAGATGAGTCCAAATGCCGCGAAGGTCTTCGAGTGACATTTGAGTCTGAAATCGAGGTTCGCAGGGTGCGTCTTCTGATTTTGCGATCAGACCACGCAAAAGTTCAGTGAACATCTCCCAGGGTTTCTTTGATTTCTACATATTTCTACTGTTTTTGGCCCTGATCACCAGCCGTGATCGTGTCGATTTGGTCATCTCGACGGGTTGATCAGGCTCGGACAAACAAACCCAAAGCGACCACTTGGAGTGCGACGGGAGATACGGCGTCCATGGGCGGAGTCATGAACAGCTCTGAACTATTGGTGAAACAGGGCACAAAGGTGAACTGATACGCCATCGCAGGCTCATATCCAAAAATGTTATTTTTTGGGTGATCCCCCACTATGATTGGTTCTGCTTAAACCTGCATCTTGCAGAAACAGTGCTAGAATTTTGGTGAATGTTGTTACTAGGGTCTAGATATGGTGTTCTCCTGCAGGCTTTTCCCTTAAATCAATTCTGGAATGCTCCAGCTTAGCTAATCCCATGTTGTTTTTTTGATGCAGGTATCCTGGAAGGTGTCATAGCAGCTGCACTACCAGGAGGCTGGGTCCTCCAAGATTCAATGGTCGAAGTGTTTCGACCCCGACGACGATCCCCGTTTCCACAAGAAAACCCAGCAGTGTGCGAAGTGAAGGTGAAGCTTATGGGAATGGGGGTGCAATCATTTGGGGTCCGCAAACATGTCGTAAAACGAGTCCACGTGTCATCTTTGCAAGGGTCAAAAAAATGTGAATTGTTTTTGTGACGCCTGAGCTTGAAGTGAAATCGAAGTGACTTGAATGGAAGAGTCTTGGGGTCTCCAAAAAGGGCTTTCTTAGCAGATATTTGGCAACGGGTGTTCCGAAAGCTTATCTATTTGGTGCGTTGATTTGGATATGACCATCAGCCATGTCCAGGATTAATCATATGTATATATATATATATGTATATATCGATATCGATTCGATGCCTATATATACGTACATATATCTTTCTATATATATATATCTATGTATATATATATATATACATGGTAACCCCCCTGAAACCCACCTTTTTTACATATTCATCACATGATTGTGTCAAAAGGGGGTTACCGTTACCTTACATACAGGCCTATTTTGAGGAATTTTTGGCAATAGTTTCAAGAGGGGCTACTATATATGTATATATAGTAGTGTAGTAAGCAAGTTAGGCTGATTTAACTTAACTTCAATGATAGCATTCTGGGAAGAACGCATTCAAAATGCATTCCCTGCTAAATCTAAGATCTAAGATCTAAGATTCCCCCAGGACTCCTGAACAAATCTTAGACTTTCCTAACCAAATCTAAGATCTAAGATTCCCCAGAACTCCTGAGCAAATCTTAGATTTTCCTGACCAACATCTAAGATCTAAGGTCTAAGATTCCCCCAAGACTCATGACCAATCTTAGATTCTTAGATCTTAGATCTTAGATTTGGATCTAAGCTTCCCTCAGGACTCCTGAGCAGATCTTAGATCGTAGATCTTAGATTGGGGGAAGAATGCATTCTGAACGCATTCCTCTGAAAATGCATCCATCTTGGTTTTCCCTTAAGTAGATGGGATTGATTTAACTACCATGAACTAATTTCAACTTTGGGTCTTTTCCCCAAACCTGAAAAATCAATGAACACACTGTGCCAACGCAATGTTGCATTTTCTTGAAGGAATGCCCCACCATGTTTAAGGGAATGTATCACTCTTGTGAATGGAACATCGCAAAAAAGTAATGCTACACCACAACTCTTTTGAAAATATATTATTGTTTCCAGTGAATACTGCAGAGACTAAGAGAGCTTTCTTATTGAAGTAATTCTGTGCCCTTTCAAGTCACTTTTCTTCAGAAGGGGCACTGTCAATCTCACAGAGGTAGCATTTGTGAGTTTTTTGTGTAAGCAAAGACGGCTCACATTTGTTCATTTCAAGTATACACAATTACGGTCAAAAAATGCGTGCATACTAACTTTAGAAAGCACAATGTAGCAGTACTTGTGCCACATCAGCATTTTCTTTTAAACATCCAACTTGTTTTTCAACAAATGTAGTGTCACTTAGAGAAAAACGTGTATGTTCTTCAAAGTAGTGGCTACATTTCTGAAGATAGTCTTGTTTTATTTGAAGAGATACTGCATTTGATTGAAAGATGCCTTGTATGTTGCAGGGACTTTTTTTTGCAACGTGTTTTTTCCTTCCAGAAGTATTGTACCTAGTACGTTATGAAATGGGTCTGTGAATTAAGGAATGCATATTTACATGTTGGAAAAAAACACAGCCTGATCGAACTCTTGAGATATATTTTCAAGAGAAGTGGTTTGTGCAAAGGAATGCTACCTATTGAAAAGGAATACTCTTTTGCTTGAGGGAAGCTACACCCTTTGAATGAAAGTGTTTGTTTGTAAAGCCTGCTTGTCAATTAGAATTGGTTCTTCAAGAGAAGGATGCATGTTTGATCGTCTCTTGTAGTCATTTACAGTGTTTTCACTGCCTTTTTCAGGTCTGGGGGAAAGACCCAAAGTTGAAATAATTTTTTTAAAAAAATGTGGGTTGAATCACTACTTAAGGGAAACTTTGCAGAGAGGTGGAGGTACTACGAGGCACGTAAATTATACTTAAGACATAGTTTGGAAGGGGTAAGAACTAAGGGGTTCTAGGACCTCCTAAGACCCACACATCCGAAGTATTGAGCCACTGCAGTAGTACAACAAGAGACAGAAGATAGTAAGGAAAAAAAGATGCCAAAGACATATCTACCATATTGATCATCAAATAAAATGTCTGCAAGATCTGAAGGCGTACAAAATTCAAAATTCATGTGTCACAACAAGGAACAAAAACATGGTAAAAACCAATGTAAAGCTTAAAATTGCCATTTGGCCACAGCGCTGTGCGCACTCTGTCAATGTTTGAATTGAAAGTCCTTGTTGGGAGCCCAATACGGTAGTCGAAAAAGGTGTAAATACCATCAAAATATGTCATTTGTATCTACACATGAAGCATCACAACTCATCACACTCAAGCATCCAAAGTCTTCAAATTAAGGAAAGAATGCTGGTTGTTATTGGCATGCGGCTGATACGCCGCCCTTGGAAGGGTTGCTAATTTTGAGATGTGCCATTTACGATCCCTTGGAATGGTCGCAAAATTGAAAAATGAAGGCTGTCAAAGTGGGGGTACAGGATTTGATTTTCGCCTTCATTACATGCTGCACATGCTGTCGTGTGTTCATCAGGGGGGTATTCATGTTCCTGAGAAGTGTTTCACTTACGTTACGGAACACGTTGCCGTTGTTAACATGTTGCACATGCCGTCGTACATTCATCAGGGGGTGGGGGGTATTAACGTTCCTGACGAGAACTTCAGTTATGTCACGGAACACGTTGCCGTTGTTAACATGTTGCACATGCTGTCGTATATTCATCAGGGGGGTAGGGGGGTGTATTAACATTCCTGACGAGTTGTAACAAGGATTGCCTTCACAAAAGATTCAAGATGGCCCAAGTCAACCACAAAAAAAAAACTAAGACTTATCATTTTCGAGGTCGTTTGTGGGGCAAATCCCAAAGAACCATTGTTGCTGGTATTCAACACATGGATGGTACATGGAAACACGTCAATAAATTCAGACCAATGTCCATGCTCCACAAGAAAAAACAGCAAGTTTACAAAAAAAAGGTACTCTTGGGCTTACACTTGGACATGGCTTCATGATGTCGCCTTGTTGGAGTCTGTGGCCGCTGCGTTGCCAAAAGCACTCGGGCACTGAAGCTTCGAGAAGAGGAAAAAAATGGATGGGTGGATGTTTGCCTCGGATGATTGAAAATCATGATTTCTAATGTTTTTTTTAAACCTTGAAGAGCAAAATCGATTCACCGTGCAGGCGGAACGCAAATTTTGACACTTGAGTCACACGCCTGCCAATCGAAATGAATGTCCATATTGCAAACATTTTTGGACAAGTCCCACAAATACCAGCATTTTGTCTCTTAGCCTCAAAAATCACAATTTCAATTCATCACCCTTACAAGGGCGGCGAGTCAACCGGTTGCCTTGTTTTTGAAGGCAAACAAAAAACACTGTAAAACACAAAAGGAAATCAAAACCGGTAGTTCGATTTTTGGGGGTAGCATAAAAATATATATGTATATATATTTATACACACCTACTCAATCCTATTTCTCTATTTATTCCCTAATATATATATATTTATATATATATACATACATATACATATATATATTGTGAATATTATCCCCTGAATGTTGATTTCCGGGGTTCCCTGAACACACCAATGCAGTGCGACACCCTGTGTTTCGCTGCCAAATCTGTCTCCTCCCGCCCACCCTTCTGCGGCAAGCGGCGAGCGGCCGTCAAAGGAATTATGGCCATGGAACGTGGTGACATGCTGAATGGAAGAAATGGACATGAGGACCTGCTGGATTGGGAAAATGTTGGAACATTTACACTCATCAAAAATCCAAATCAACAAAACAACAAAATTAAAATCACAGCTAGATCATGACGTCAAAGGTTTTGTCATTTTGTCCACAGCATCATGCTCTGTTCCCTCATTGATCCACTTGAGTTGCGCTCTTTTATTGGCTCTTTGCTGGAGGACTGTCTTTTCATCAAACAATGTATAACGTCCTACAAGTAGTGCCTGCCGAAGAACCTGCCCATCCATGGACTTCGTCAAACAATCAGCCAACATGGCTTTACTGTTCACCCATCTTAAGCGACAGTTCTCCTGGAGCCTTTCACGGATCAAAAGGCATTCTAAAGTTGTTCTGCTTTCCGAACAGGCTGGTGTTGAAGTCTTAGTTGAGAGGTCATATACAGACTTGCAGTCAGTCGCAACCACAGACCATGGTGCCTCACGAAGAATGTCACTGGGATTTGACCAGTCCACGGCTGGATTCTTCATCCATTCCCAAAACACTCTTATCCAACTCAGCCTGTCCAGTGTTGATCCTAAGGCAATAGCCTCAGCGCTCAAGGTGCTTCGCGCCACTCTTGGGATCTTCTTTGAAGACCATGCAACCGGACACACAACAGTCTTGACATTGTCCTCAAGTTTCCCGTCGGTCGAGAAAATGAGTGTACCCTGCCTTGTTGACCTACCTTTACCAGTCTCAAAAGAAGCATCTGAAAATGCACAGAAAGTCACAGCATGTTCCGGTATGGGCACGATCATCAAACTCACTGGATTCGCCTTGGCCTCGTACAAAACTCGGTTCGCATTAATTAAGTGTTCCACCTTTCCAGAAGCCACTGCTGACTGAAGCTCACCGACCTTTGCTGAAAGGTCAGGCCTAGTGTGCACTGCAGCGTATTGGAGGCTTCCGCAAATTTGGCGAAGCTGCTGGGTCTCCAGTGGTGTGAGAGAACTCTGGCTCTGCTGTCGACGATTTCGCGGAATCTCAATGGGGTGAATCTTTTGAACATAGGAATCCTGACTCATCTCAATGGACCCATCGTCCCACTGATAGTATCGAACCCCACAGAATTCAAAATCCCCTTCATTGTAGGCCCCAAACTCGAACTTACTACGGAGCTTCCCAATGATCTCCCTAAAGTATTTATCACCCCCTCCGATTCCATCGTCAACATGTAAGCCTACACATCCATGTACTTTGGGTTTTCCATTGTGGCCCTTTGTCACCAATGTGAAAACGCAGCCATCGAAAGGGCTGACTACGAAGCCCAGACCCTCCATTGTTTCGCGGAGTGTCTTGTACCATAAAAGAGGGGCATCTGCCCTGCCGTATGCTCCACCCAGAAGTCCGCACTGTTCATCATTCTGTAAGCCAATGGCCCGTTTGAGCTCCGGAGGTGCATGGATTCCAAGCTTTCTTCCATCACCTGCGCCCTTTAAGAAAGCAGTGGAAATATCAAAATTGATCAATCTCCATCCCCTGCTTGCAACCTGCTGCAAAATCAGCTGTTTACCATCCTTCGAAAGGGTCGGCGCGTCAGCTGCAATGGAACTCAGCTCTGGATCCTCAAATCCACGAATTACAAGACGTGCCTTAGCACGCTCCTCTGTTGTGCCGGGAGCAGGTGGTTTCCATGTGAAGATCCATCTGCACCGCATGATTTGGTCATCTCGCAACGTCCCCTTGGCCAACCTACAAACTGTTTTGTGGCTAACCCATGCCTTTATTTCCTTATCTTTGGCATTTTGAAACTTCACACGGTCGGCATCTGTGAGGTTTTTCCATTGGATTTCTACCTTTTGTTTCCGGGAATCTGTTGCCAGAAGCAGCCATTCTCCTACTTCGGGGACATCACAAAAAGACACATCAGAATTCCCACCAACACCAATTTCGGGACCATTCTCAAAACCGATCTCCCAAAACCCCGGATCCCCTGGTTCACAACTAAAATCATCCCCAAACAGAAGATCCTGGCCATCGTCTGGTACAGGTATTTCATGGGCCTCCTTTGCTCTTTCCTCCTCTGGTTCCTCATTTACTTCTGGCATGATCCCATCCCCTTCAGTGGGTACAATTGATGTAGGGGTATAAGATCCATTTGAAAACCCTTCCGGAGGAAAGACTTCGCCATCAGGTTGGCTTGAGGCAACACTCACCGGGGCATTTGGAACTGCATCCGTTGATTCCGATACATCAGGTTCGGTATTTTCAACAGGAGGCTCATCATTCCCCAAATCAACAAAGTTCTTGCACTTTGGGTCAACCCTTATCTCATGGACATTACCCCCCAAACTCCGACTGATGGCTCGGAATTCACGCATGGATGCGGGTCGTATTTGTTGTGGACTCGCCCGGATGAGGTACCCGCTGTGGGATATCCACACGACCTTTTGATTTTCACATACCACTATCTGTCCAGGACCATACCATCGTCCTCTATCTCCTTTCATGTTCCCCTTATGTTTCCTCCAGTAAAGTACCCAGTCTCCCTTTTGGAAATGGTTAATTGCTATTTGGGGTCGTCGGAGAAGAGCTCTGCGAATGGCTTGGTCGTTGTCAGCAGAAAGAAAGGCTCGTCTTGCCCTTTCTCTCCGGGCTAAATCTTCACGGAAACGCAGGCCATCTGGAGTGTCGGCATCCAGCAGGGCATGGGCAGCTGTTTGTTCATCAGCCATTAAAGACCCTGGGAGAGACCTTGCCTTCCCCAACAGTGCTTGTTCAGGACTGAAACCCCTTGTCTGACCCATGGAATTCTTAGCTGCAAAAGCCTGCCTCAGACACCTCTTGAACTCGTCAATGCCCTCAATAGGTTTCTCTACATCCATTGCAGTCAACATCTGTTTGATTATTTTCCCATGGGCTTCGGTCCTTCCCAACTGCCAGTGGCTGTCTCCTGCAGACATCGAAACTTTGATGTTTTCCCGCTGGAGGTGAGTATGCCATTTGGTGTTTACATACTCTCCAGCAGGATCCAGGTAAAGTGTTTTGCATGGACCAGCCCACTGCAGCCAAACATTTTCAAAAGTGGATATCTGTTCGTCCACAGTACGTCCACTGAGGGCCCCAAGATGGAACAGCGTAGACTCATCAATGAAATGTAGAAAATGATAAGTAACACCCATACTCCCCTTCCAATAAGCACCATCACAACCAACAACATCGTTGAAATCCCTGTGCTCATGGATAGTCGATGGATTTGCCAGTTTGGGTCCTCTATGGTTTTCTACGCACACATCACATTGATAGTCACGAGCTGCACAGACAGCCCTTTGGTCGGCTCCCTGTTCTGACAGCAAGCGACACAGTTTTTCTGGACTGGGGTGACCTAGGTTTGCATGGAGACGCTTTAAATCATTTCTCTGATGGACATCCAAAAGCTCAAATGCGGGACCACTTCGGGGAATGATTCGTGGGGCCCAACCCTCTATATCCCCTGATTCCCCAACATCCCCCATGCTTATTTCCCTGTCTCTATGCATCATTTGTTGGTCGCCCTCCACACTTGGAACACTCACTAGAGGTCCTGATTGGTCCTCCCTTGATTGAGATTCTCCCTTGTTGCCTGCTACTTCCGTGTCTGGTGACTTGTTTACATCGGGAACCAGCGGTACACCAAGTTCGGAAATTTCATCTGTTGGGAGTTGATGTGGGGACCCCACACTTGGTTCTGCCTTGGTGCCGAACACTGTGACAGAAATTCTTGCTGGTCCTGCCTTGCGTATCTGTTTGATTCTGGATAAACACCACCAATTTTCAGGGGGCCCCAGATCGACAACCCTACCTGAAGTCCTGTCTACAATGACTGTTTTTCGCCAAGGCATCTCATTTGGACCTGCAAGGTTCCCAGGCACTCGGTACCTTTCGGTACCTCTACAAAGCAGGACCAATTTGACTTGGAGTTCGGGAACCAATGCATGAAAGTCAGCGCACTGGGGATCATCGCCCTTCAAAACCAAATTTCCAACACGTGGCAAGGCACTGGACAAACCCTTAATCACCCCTCCCCATGTTGGAGACTTGCCATACCCTGCACGTGGCGGTGATCCAGCGCTTTCAGCATCTGGTCCACGGGGTGGCCCTTTAATTCCGTACCGTCGCCTCTTTTGGCTTTGGGAATCTTCCGGTGCCAGGTCAGGGGACTCATGTTTTTGGTCAACAGCAAACACATCGTGTGGGTTCTCAAAAAGCACAACAGGAGGTTCCCCAATCCTACACTCCTCCAAAATCTTCTCAGCAATAAATGCTCCAAAAATGGAAGTGTAAGGTGACGCATATTCGGACACATTAATCCGTTGTCCCTCATGTTTCATGGACCCTTGGATAACCTCATGTGCATGGTCATGTTTGCAGTATTTCTGATGAAGGTGAAAGTCCATGTACCCACTTGTGGTATTGACACTCGTCCTTTTCCGAAGAAAATCCCCTTTTCTTGGTAACCGCAATTTCCCCACCCGGCACATGTCAAATGTTGATTGGAGGGATCCTTCCCGAAAATCATTCAATTCTTCTTGGAACATCATTGATGATTCACTAGGCTGTTCAAGATGGGCATGCCGTCTTTTACAACTTTGATAAAGATATATTTCGTTACATAACCGGAGGTGATGTTTATTGTGGAGTCGTTCTCGAACAATCTTGCTACAAAGTTCATGACTTTTGGACATATTCAAGTTAGAGAACTTTCCCCAAAGCCTGCATTCCGGTGCTAACCAAATGTGGCGAGGTTCATACATGTAGATCCACAACCAAAGTTTCTGGACTCCTTCGAGGGTACCTAAATCCCCATCATTATAGGTGAACCTCATGGCATATCCCCCTTTTCGGTTCACATGTGTGGTAATTTGGGAATTGGGCCCACAATAAACCTCTAGTAAGTCCAGCGGCCGACTTTGGAGGTGGCCATTCTTGTTTCCTGTTGTCAGGTGGTGTTGATTCTCCATTTTGCCAGCATTCTTTGGGAGAGTGGACAAACCGTCCTGAATTTCCTCAGTCTTAAGGGCTAGCTCCTGGTGAATCAACTTTTCCTGAACAGCGGTCAATCGAGGCAATGGTGTATTGCTATCAATGTAGCTCACCAAACTTGAAATTTCATCATTCAGCTTGACTCTGCATCGCTTGGGACCTGTATCTCTTTGGCCAGTTCCCGTTGGAGCAAAGCGATCTGAGTTTGGATCTGTTGGACTTTCTCGGCATTGGGTTCCATCATCATAGATGATCGAGGGGCTTCGCTTCTCGTCACCTCCGAAACTGGGCGTTTGATTGGGTCGGTCTTCGGAACTTGTTTTCCCATGACCTTCACCCAATCCTCGGATGCCACACTTGACGTTCCCTTCGGCTCTGCCTTTGGCAAAGCCTTCGGAATCGGGATCATACTTCCTGCCTTGGTCACGATCTGACTGAGCATCTCCGTGGTCACTGGGATCCCCTTGTTGAACATCTCCTGTGAATGAGCGTGGTCGTGCTGCACCCTTGCTTTTCCATACATCTGAAAATTCTTGACCCAGTTTGATGTCGCCCTTCGATTTCGAAGTTGAAATACATAGTTCTGATCGGTGTAGGCCTCCTCGAATGTCTTGCCTTTGTGTTTCCCATCTGGGAGAATCATTTGTCCCCATTCTCGGAGTGTGTTCACTTCCGGTGGCCTTAGGAACACATCCGTCTGGGTCTCTGATACCTTCTTGGGCATGGTGAGGCTCTGATCCACTTCGGAGTCGAGTGGCCTGTCCAGATAGCTGAGATCGATCATGTGGCTGGACATCTTTTCCTGAACTGCGAATTGATTGGCTTGATGACTGGTTTGAGCATACGGCTGCGGGTGATGCGATACGGCAATTTTCATTAACATGTTGGGATACCTGATGACCTATCTTTACCTGTACATCATCCATGGTCTCAGACTCTCCCGGGTGGTTGGTAGGACAGTATTTTCCATGATCTTCTTCATTCAGTTCATCATTTTGGGTGGTCATGTGAATTTCATCCCTTTTCTCCGTTGGTGATTCCGGTGTGATTGCCAAAATTTTTCCAAAGTGAACACTCATGAGATTCTTTCTACACGGTTTCAGTGGCACCCCTGTTGTGCTTCCCTTGAACCAAAGCATGCCCCCATCTACATCGATGACTGCCTTGAGAGCTTTGAGGACTGAGTTAGAAAGCAGGAATGGGGTCTGACCTGGTACCACCTCCACTCTGATCCATCCTCCAGTTTTCCGTGGGAAAAACACAGCTGAATTGCTTTTCAGGGTGCCAGAGTTGCCAAACCTGAAAACAACACTTGAAGGAGCAACCTTGACCTTGCCTTCCATGCCACATGAAGCAACCAGGCTAGACAACCGATCTGATCCTACAACGGCTCGGCTGGCACCCGTGTCAATGATTGCCTCATGGCTTTCTTCCTCAAATTGGAAAACTGTTTCAGCCTCCTGGGTTGTTTCAACCGAAGCTTTCAAATTGGATGGGCACGGACTCAGAGGGAGTGCGGATTTCCCTTGGCACGGGAACGTCTTGTGGTTGGCCACCACTGATTCACGGTGCTTCCTACCACAACGTTGCAAACGATTGCACAGGTTTTGTGAAAAAATCGAACCAACACAAACGCTATCAACTACCATGGCATCATGCAAAAATTGGCCCTGCTGATGGTCAATGGTTTCTAGGTGCAACGTTTCATGGTCTCGTGGGTTCCCTTTTAGATTATTTTTGAAAAATTTTGTGTCTTGCCCCTCCTCCCAGTCCACTGCGTCAGGGGGCAGAACCTCGATGACTTCCTGAGCGATGTCATCTTCATCCAGGAACCCCAAGTGGACCTCATTGAGTGTTGACTGCTCGGGCTTCTTGTTCTCGGCACGTTGTGGGCATTCACGTTTCCAATGCCCTGCCATTCCACAAAGTCTGCACGTGGAGTTTGCTATCCTGTCAGCAAGAGATCTCTTTCGTCCCATGAATCCAGCATTGGATCCCTGATTGTAGGTGTTGCCACCTTTGCCCTTCTTGGTGAATCCCTTCCCCTTTGCTTTGCCCTTCACGGGCCAAAATCCACGAGCTCTGGCGCGCTCTCGAACTCGGGCTCTGGCCTCCTGGTAACTCACAAAGCACTGTGAGAGGTCAGGATGTTCCTGAACTGCTTCCACAATCTGGTCCTCAAACTCATTGATGTAGATTGCGTCCTCATCGCCATTGTCGGCCATGAGCTGGTAGATTGATTCCTCGTCCCATTCTCCATCAGTCTCCTGGAAGAAGGCTGGCGAGGCTTCTTCGATTTCATCGGCATTGTAGGCTTCATATGACTTCTTTGCCAATTGGCTTTTGTTGGTCCCCTGCAGTTCCTGGAAGAACTTTGATCCCAGCAGCTTCAAGCTCTTTCGAGCAGCCTCGTACGTAAGATCCCCGGCATTGTCCATGATGATCTTCTTCCTGTCCTCAGATGACAGTGTGGACTGCCTGACCAGTATGTAGGCCCGGATGTCCTTGATTGTCACACCTTTGGATTCCAGGTCTTCGAAGGCTATGTCGTGTCGAGCCAAATAGCTATTGTTGCTTTCATCTCCTTTTTGAACCACAGTGTATAGTGCCCTCTCAAAGAGGTCATACTTTTCCTCAGCTCCAAGTCTACCCCACTGACCACCCAAGGCTTCGACCAAGTATTGGATGCCCTGTTTGGACTGTAACTTTGCTCCATCCAGACGTGCAACCTTCTGAAAGGCAGCACCCTCTACAAGGAGTGCAGCTCTGGGTGCTAGGTATTGGATGTGTTCTTCCGGCCAAATGGCATGAAGAAACTTCATCTTCTGCTCATAGACTCGTAAGTCTGTGGTGCTCGGGTCAAACCGAGGGATTTGGGCCCACGGTAAAGACGTCGGCGGCCCTGATCCTGGGTTCCCTGGATCTGCTGCTTGCGCATGTGCTCCACTTTCACCGGACATGGCTCACTTCGATCTATGGCTGTGCCGTTTTGTCTTGCAAAACTCAAAATTGATTAATTAACCCCAATATTGGAACCCACCAAATTGAAGTAGAAGGAGCTATAAGCGGCAGCCCAGCTGCTCCGCTACCAATGTGAATATTATCCCCTGAATGTTGATTTCCGGGGTTCCCTGAACACACCAATGCAGTGCGACACCCTGTGTTTCGCTGCCAAATCTGTCTCCTCCCGCCCACCCTTCTGCGGCAAGCGGCGAGCGGCCGTCAAAGGAATTATGGCCATGGAACGTGGTGACATGCTGAATGGAAGAAATGGACATGAGGACCTGCTGGATTGGGAAAATGTTGGAACATTTACAATATATATATATATATTTATATATGTATACATACATATGATCCCCCTGTCTCGTGTTCACAGCCCCCACCCCATATGGTATGCGGGTATACCCCCCCACCCCCACCCCATTCGCAGGGGGGATACATAGACATACATACATACATCCACACATACAGACAGACATACATACATCCATGCATACATACATAACAGACAGACAGACAGACAGCCAGCCAGCCAGCCAGCCAGGCAGGCAGGCAGGCAGGCAGGCAGGCAGGCAGGCAGGCAGGCAGGCAGACAGACAGACAGACATATATACACATATACATATGTACATACATATATTCTTTTTATGTAACATATAGATACACACATACTTGCATAATCTTGTGTGTATCCTTATACATATAGGGACCATCTCCATCTCAGGGGGAGGGGACCACCAGACGCTGGGCCATATATACAGTATGGGTATATATATATGTGTATGTAGACACACGCACATTTGTATCTATGAACGGCTGTTTTCCATTTTTACACACACATTTTTGTCAGCCATCTCTGTTTTTCCCTTGCAGGACTCGCCGGTCTGGGCCGGAGATCCCAGGTGTGCGCCAACACGGAAATTGGTGTAACCCCTGTAGGCCCCCTTGATGCGAGGCTCTGCCTCAGTCTCGGATGCTAAGGTGGCTACGGGGCCATTGCATCCAATGGTTTCGACCTGCAGCTTGACCGACTTTCTCCCATGACTTGCTGTACCCTGAAGGTTTAGGGTTGATGTTACAGCCGTGGATAGGGCACGGTTACGTTTTTTATCACCAATTCAACATGATATATGGGCTCCTAAATAGCTAGATCTATTGATCAGCTACTGGAAAGAGGAATGAACACTCATCATCAAATTTGTGCAGATTACTCGTTGAAGCCATTGCTGGTGTCAAATACAGTATTTTCGTGCTTCCAACTTATCTAGGACGATTGGGTCCTCAATCGTTTTCTTGTGGTGGGTGGCTTGAATCCAAACAACTGTGGATGGTCTTATCATTTCCCATTTTTAGTGGTTCCATTCTAATTCAACGGAGGAATATATCATCTGTCTGTCTATCTACCTGTCTGTCCATTTAGCTGTCTAGCTGTCTAGCTATCTATCCATCCATCTATCCGTCCTTCCATCCATCCATCGATCGATCCATCGATCCAACGATCTATCCATTGATCTAGAATATCATAAATATGGTTCCTTTATTTGGATATCCATTTATCCAACGATCATTTATTCACTTGTATCTCCACTGCACGTGAACTTCCCCTTTCTGGCACTCCTCACTTGCCGAGGCAGAGATACTCTCCCTACGCCGTGGCAGGCATCCAGGCGCCTGATTTCTGAAGTGGTTAAGAGGGAGCAGTTCGGAGGGGTATCCATATTCCCTCTTGAATCGGGAGCCAAGGATCTACTAAGAGTTTCCTAACGATAGGATCGCTTACCAAGACATCCCCCTGTGATCAGACCCTGCCTGCTGGCTACAGTACGCTGCAAGGAGCGAATTGGGTATAGCTCGGGGCGACCTAGTGTCCATTGACGCAACCAAAGAAACTAGTAATTGGGGCCACAACTCCAGGGTGGGCAATTGGCATTTGGTATATTTGCTGGTCCTAGGTCAAAGTCAAAGAAGAAATCACAACATGCTGCAGCGACAATGGGCCAGGAACACTGCAACATGAATCAGCGCTTGGTTGATGCTTATATGCAGTCACAAATACTTGGCCATTTAGATCCATCTAGTTTGTTTGTTACCCCCCTACGACTACACAATACCCAGTGTTGGCTGTAAGAATTTACCCCAGAGACCTGGATCCTTGATGCTCGGAAGGAGTGCAGCCGCAAGTAGCCATGGGTGGTGTGGCGGTGGGTGGCATGCAACCCGTGCAAGGTGGATGATGGGTCTCTTGATATCCCATTCTCGGTGCATGTAGAAGGTTGAGTTGGGCATGGGTCAACAACAAGGAGACCTTTCTGCTGGATTCTTGATGATTGTTGTGCTGAACGCATTTCTGAGCACACCTGGTTGGCATGGATGCTAGCTCGCAGACGCGCAGGTTATGCAGTGGTGCAGAGCCAGCCTGGTTAGACCCCTAGTGTTGAGCAGTGGCTGCTGAACCCCCCATTGGTTGTCATCATCCACTGTCCACCATAGGATCCCGCTACTGTATTTTCGGGTAATTTTTCGCTTCAATATAGACCATCCGCTGGCCCTGTGCTCACATCTTGTGCAAACAATCTCCAGCAAGAAGTAGGGAGAAAAGAAGCCATGTCATCAATCATACATTTGTCCTACACAAATTACATCATCCCTTGGAAAAGCTATCATCAAGATGAATGACACCAGCCTGAAAATCTGCTTGTTGGGTTCTCGAAACGCAGTCGCTTGGACTGACGCTGAGCTAATGTCTGCGGGCAATTTCTACTTTTTTCTGCTTTGTTGATGATCTGCACATCCTTTGTTCGTCAAAATTGCAAAAGCATGTTGGTTGGGAATTTCTCCATTTCTTTCCTTTTTTTTGATGTTACACACCTTTAATGGTCAAGATGCTGAGGTTTGCTGCCGAGATCCCATTTCTTTGCCACCCGAGGCATGCTGAACGCTGTGCCGCCTTTGCCGCCGGGCTGGGAACAGGCAGTTGACCCGGCGAGCGGGAAGGCACCCTGGGTGGCAGCTTGTTGCTTTATTTTGCAAGACGGCCGGGCTGCATGGTCTTGCTGGAGTTCACAGTAACAAGAAACAGATCTCCATTACTTTTCGACTTTGGCCCCCTCGCAGAACCATCCTAGACATTGCTAGAATAGCCAATCTAATCATGTGAAAGGATCTCGACATAGCACCCTTCCAACTGACGTTTGATCCTTGCAGCCCAGCAGGTCTACTATGCCAACCGCGCCACGGCTGAGACCAGCTGGACTCCACCCCCCATGCCAGCAGCCATGGGTGGTGGCATGGCGCCGATGGGCACAGCACCCATGGCCACCGCACCTATGGGCGGGATGCAAATGGGCCAGCCAATGAGCCAGCCAATGGGTCAGCCAATGAGCCAGCCAATGGGTCAGCCAATGAGCCAGCCGATGGGTCAGCCAATGAGCCAGCCAATCGGCCAGCAAATGGGCCAGCCAATGGGCCAGCCAATGGGTGGGCCAATGGGCCAGCCAATGGGCCAGCCAATGGGCCAGCCAATGTGCCAGCCAATGGGCCAGCCAATGGGTCAGCCCATGGCTTGTAGCCCTATGGGTGGTCAAGCCTCCATGGTAGGTGCAGCACCCATGGCACCCATGGGTGGATCTATGGGTGCATCCGTGCCCATGGGAGCTCCTATGAATCAAGGTATGCCCATGGCCAATAACCCCATGGCTGGAGCCCCTATGGCTGGCAATGCCCCCATGGTTGGTGCCATGCCAACTGCAGTCGCTTCCGTGCCACTGGTGCCTTGCGATGCTGCGCCAGCTGCGGCACCGACCGCAACCCCGGCGGCTGATGCCACGGCCCCTGCGCCGGTTGATGCAACGGCTCCGCCGGCTGATGCCACGGCCCCTGCGCCGGCTGATGCCACGGCCCCTGCGCCGGCTGATGCCACGGCCCCTGCGCCGGCCAACGGCACAGCGCCCGTCGCGGCGACCGCTGCCCCAGCTGCAGAGGCTGCCACACCTGCGAATGGCGCGGCACCTGAGGGCGCGGCGCCTGAGGGCGCCAGCGCGGCGCCGGCCGCGCAACCAGCAGTGCAAGCTGCAGAGGATAGGGCTGGGATTGATGTTGGTATTGCTCCGGATGTTGCTTTATAGAACTTTACAGACTCAAGAGGACTTGTTGAGACAGACATGCTTGTCAACTGATTGTGAATTCGAATTCTGAAATTTGTCAAGAGAATCCAACGCCCAGTTCGCATTTGTTTCTCCTGCTGCAGGCTGCCACAGAACCTGCAGCGCAGCCGGCCGCGGGCACGGCTGCACCTGCACTTCCAGCCGGGTGGGAGCAGGGAGTGGATCCCAACACTGGCAAGCCAGGCTCTCAGTTTGGTTTGAAAGAGGGTATGTGGGAATGGCCTGTCAAATTATCAACATCCCAAAATTGGACAAAATTTGATGGTTTGATACGATAAGTGACTAAAGTTGTGGTTTTCTTGGTGCTACCCAAACCGGAACTTTTGTGGTGGGTTGGGGGACCACAAGATCAAAAGGAGGCAAAATCGACCAACTGGGTACGGATGAGCAACACGGAAGAGTGAGCCAGTGAGGCAGATGATTTCCAGAGGTATTGTTGATTCAAGTGACCACAAAGCAAAAAGAAACACTATCAAACACACTTGTAGGTTGGGCCATAGGCTTTTACGTGGGTTCATCATTCTGGTGTTTGAATTGCGTCAACAACCCATTTGAGCAGTGTTCAAAAATCCGGGTTGGTTGATGGTTATAGGAATTATACTAAACAATCTGTCGGGAATATCATAATCCATGAGGGGAATCACTATGAACCGACAAGTATAAAGGGACAACACCTGGTAACACCTGGTTTTGAACACTGCGCATTTGGGCCCCATTTCAAAGCTGTTCATCCCCCTTCAGACCCGAGCCCCGAATGGGTCTCGGGTCTCCCTGCAGGACCTATTACTACAATCGAAGTAGCGGTCAATCCAGCTGGGCGATCCCTACCTCCTGAAGCAACTGCCAGTGCTGGATCTGGCGATGCCGTTTCTCCCATTGAAAAACAGCCACAAAAAGAAACATGGAAAACGGATTAGTAGCTGGTTAGAGTAGATCCGAAGTTTTGATGTTTTGTAGAGATCCCAAGTCTTGTTCCATCTCCATTTCTGGCAGAGCCTTGCTTCAGGGCAATACGCACTGCCAGATTCGGAACTGCGACTGCAAAGCCGATACTCCCAAAGACAGGCCGCTGGAGCTTCCTTCGATCTGAAGACTGAAGCAGTGGAAAAGGAACATCTGGAGATTCGATGAACTTCAAATTTTCCAGCATATCAATCATATCGGATCATATAGGCCTACTGTATAATCTAGTTATAGCTATTCTAGCATCTATAGTGTGCTGGAAAACTGCTTACCTCACTCAGCTTACCTCATTTCCAACATAGTGTGGGCGGATTTGGAGAGGACACTGAGGACACACCAGTAGCACCACAGCCATGGTTTTTCTCAGAGGAGTCCAGCGGTTGGAGATTGCTCGACCAGGCTGTAGTGCTCGACCGAACCAAATTGCACATGGAAAACCATGGATGTTTTGGCGACACTGAGGGAAAAACCATCCCATCCCCCAATTTTTCAAAACTGCCCATGGGGGTCCCAAATTTAATAGATCCAACATGATGTCTACTTAACTTAGGGAAGACAATGCAAAAAGCCGCTTCTCATCATCTGATCCATCAACACAGCAAGCAAAACCAGACACGTGCGAGGATGATCGGCGCAGAGATGTTTGTCTCGCGCTGTGCGCGTGGAAAAAGTGTGGCTGCAAATGGGTCTTTGTGCCTTTGGAAGCTTCTTCACATACTTTCGAGATGAAACACACATGGTCTATGCTACAAGGAGCTGATCTGGCCAATTCCAGTTTGAACTATGAATGATTCAATGCAACAGGTGTCCCGAAGCATAGAGGACCCAATATGCAAAAGACCAATTTCTGAAAGCAATCCTTTGGATCCCTTTTTCTATCTGGTATAGATGATATTATTTCCCATGATTGTCCTGGTTTCCAACTTTTCTCTATCTTTTTGAGGGCAAGCAATAAAGAAAATAAAGGAATTATATATATATAGTAGCGAACTGAAACTTAGAATGACGTTTTGGAAAATTAACCACACTGATTAACACTTAGAATGCTACAAAAAAGGTTACACATAGAATGAATCCAAGGGTTTTGGGGGCATGTGTTTTATGATTTTTGCTGACTTCCACGTGAATTATGCTTTCCTTGACGATTTTTGTCCCTCCCTGCTGCATTTGTCACACTTAGAATGCCACACCAAACCTTTCCTCTTTCCTTTCCTTTGTTTTTTCCTTTTTCCTTTCCTTTTTCCTTTCCTTTTTCCTTTCCTTTTTCCTTGCCTTTTTCCTTGCCTTTTTCCTTGCCTTTTTCCTTTTTCCTTTCCTTTTTCCTTTCCTTTTTCCTTTCCTTTTTCCTTTCCTTTTTCCTTTCCTTTTTCCTTTCCTTTTTCCTTTCCTTTTTCCTTTCCTTTTCCTTTCCTTTTTCCTTTCCTTTGTCCTTTCCTTTCTCCTTTCCTTTCCCCTTTCCTTTCTCCTTTCCTTTTTCCTTTCCTTCTTCCTTTTCTTTTTCCTTTATAAAACTATATATTAAAAAAATGTTGCTGGTACGTCATTCTAACAGCCCTCATTCTAAGTGTTCCACTGAAAATTTTGGAAAACAATACGTCATTCTAAGTTTCAGTTCGCTACTATAAGGGTTTTAACCTGCAAAAAACAGCTTAAACCAAGTCTTGAAGCCCAGGGATGTTTGATTTTGCCCTTGATTTGCCCCATCGGTACTTTCTGTATGATTCTTCTGTTTTTATTTGATGTGGCTTCTGCCCTTCCCATATGCCAAAAACGCTGAATCAAGAAAAGCTTGATCCCAAAAAACTGCCAGCATTTTCACTAATTTTCCACCAGTCACAGGGAGAACCTTTCCCCTTGGGTCGCTCCGAGGCTTCGACACCTGCCCATCACGGAGCAAAACTGCTGACGGATTCGTTGAGACGCCTGGAGCCTGGGAGCCCGGCAGCTGGTGGTGAAGCCGATGGGCAGCGAAGATTGAATAGCTCGGAACTACTATTGAAATGGGTATGTCTGAAAATGGTGTATACCCCTGAAACGATCATTTTGATATGATTTTAATAGGAAAATGATGGTAAACCATCTGGGGGTATCCAACTTTTAAACAAACCTAACTATTCATCAGAATCTCCACCCATCTGGGGGTCGTTTTTTTTTGTGTCCAACGCAACAAATGCCGACGCAGCTGCGCTTCAGCGGATGCGACTGCCAAGAGATGAGCTCTGATGATTCCAGTTGACCAGAGCCAACCACAAAACAGGTGAAATTTCCTACGTAGAATAAACCTCATGTTCTTTTTTGTCAACTATTCCCACTCATCCATGTTTCTGAATATTCTCATTTTTGTTGCTAAGATATTCCCCATGTTTGTTGGAAAAGAAATCTCTCCATGTTTTGCTTGTGATATCGCTGTTTTCGTAGTGGTTGGTTCATCTCCTCAGTTTGTTGATGAACTTCCCAGCTTTTTTTTCAGTCATTTTCTCCTTGCCCCTTGTGTGTCCAAGAATGGTTTTCCCGCAACACCCAATAGTTGCTTGTCGTAACATAATGACAAGGATTATAAATACATACCACTGTATGTATATAAATATATTATATATACATAAAAACACACACCGTGGGGTCATGGTTAGTGGAATTTGTGAATGATGTCACTGTCGTCGCCTAATGTCCTGAGTTGCCTTCCATCGCAAGCACACTGAAACACCATGAGGTCGTCGCATTCGAAACGATGAATTCTGGAAGATCGAAAGTCCAACCTGTCGCAATATACCTAAACAACCTGAGGAGAAAAGTTTGTTCAACCGTTCAAGCAGGTACGTGAAAACGGCGTCCCGTTTTCATATCACAGGAAAGAGTGAAGGTCTTCGTTGGTGCCAGCTTCACTCAAACCTCTGGCACCCCCTGCTTCATCAAGATGAAACCGTTTTTTGAGATCATCAATAGCTCCATGATGGTACCAGTCGTTTCTCAGAATCTTAACCTGAAACCTAAGAAGCATACCTGACAGAATGCGTACCTAGCCTGAAAGGAACCTAATGATGATGACAGGTGAGGTGAAAGATCTCCAGGGACTAGAGACTGCTTTGAAGCGATATATCGAAACATGATCGATTCATCAAAACTAAACCGTTTGCTATAACGGTATACACACAATGGCCCCGAAATGGGGCAAACCGCAAAGAACCTATTATTATCTGGCGAGTCTGAAAATCTCCTTATGAGATAACGGACAATGAAAGCTACGGCACAGCATTACAAGTTCTGATTAGCGCGCTTCTTGTCTCAGGTTGTCTCATATCTTCCATGGAATATTGCAGTTGTATTTACGGAAAGGGGCCCACTCGTGTAGAGCTTAGGGTCGTCTCAATAGCTCCATCATGTTCCCAATCGTTTCTAACGAACTTAATTTACAACCTAAACCCTAAGAAGCCTACCTAACAGAATGAATACCTAGCCAGAAAAGAACCTGATGATGATGATGATGATGATGATGATGACAGGTGAGGCGAAACATCTACAATGGCTAGCAAATGCTTCGAAGTGATGACAAACTTAGCCTAAAACCTAAGAAGCCTACCTGGCAGAATGAATACCTGGCCTGAAAAGAACCTGATGACTATGACAGGTGAGGTGAGAATCAAACCATTGGACCATGTTCTAAGTGAACCACTGAGAGTCAGACCAAACTGAACTTTCATTGCACTCATAGTGCTGATAACTTCGACTTGTGTCTACTTTGCCCAAATTGGACTAAACTTCTGCCCTATGGCGTCTTCGCCTTATTGCTACTGCGATTGGATTTTACTGTGTAAAATGTTGACTTCGTCACATGACGCTTGAAATGCACTCTGAGTGCATACGGCTTCGGAGATCCATTCTCCATTCTACATACGGGAAAATGCCCGCTCATCATTTTCTGATTGGTCGTAACCAACCGACGGTGTGACCAAGTCAGGTCCAACACCCATGACACACTGTGGGGTAATGGTTAGTGGAATTTGTGAATGATGTCACCATCGTCGCCTAATGTCCTGAGTTGCCTTCCATCGCAAGCACGCTGAAACACCGTGAGGTCGTCGCATTCGAAACGATGAATTCTGGAAGATCGAAAGTCCAACCTGTCGCAATATACCTAAACAACCTGAGGAGAAAAGTTTGTTCAACCGTTCAAGCAGGTACGTGAAAACGGCGTCCCGTTTTCATATCACAGGAAAGAGTGAAGGTCTTCGTTGGTGCCAGCTTCACTCAAACCTCTGGCACCCCCTGCTTCATCAAGATGAAACCGTTTTTTGAGATCATCAATAGCTCCATGATGGTACCAATCGTTTCTCACAATCTTAACCTGAAACCTAAGAAGCATACCTGACAGAATGCGTACCTAGCCTGAAAGGAACCTAATGATGATGACAGGTGAGGTGAAAGATATCCAGGGACTAGAGACTGCTTTGAAGTGATATATCGAAACATGATCGATTCATCAAAACTAAACCGTTTGCTATAACGGTATACACACACACATATATATACACATACATACTACATAGATACATAGATATATACATAGATACATAGCTAGACACATAGATACATAGATAGACACATAGATACATAGATAGACACATAGATACGTAGATACACAGATACATACATAGATAGATAGACAGATAGATAGAAAGGTACATAGATTAGATTAGATTAAATTGGATTAGATAGAAGATGCATGCATGCATGCATGCAAGCACGCATACACGCATAAACGCATTTACGCATACACGCATACACGCATACACACATACACGCATACACGCATACACTATATGCATACACGCATACATCCATCCATCCACCCATCCATCCATCCCATCCCATCCCATCCCATCCCATCCCATCCCACCCTCCATCCATCCATAC